GAAAGGCTGGAAACTCGGGGCTTCCTCGGGTGACTCGTTGGATTTAGGTGTCACAACTGGCACAGTTGTGCCCAACAAACTGCCTAATTACGTCTGAATTAACATAAATTATAACTGTTCAATTAGTAACAAATAATTAGGCTATTTGCTAATTCCTATGGGTGTGTTCATTAATCAGTAAATTAATTGATCAGGCTGTGCTGGCAGGGGCTGGGAGAGGGGACTGACGGGACCAGGGCTGGCAAGAACATCACCACCACCCCTAGCTCCACCAGTACCCCCAGTCCCACCAGGACCCCTGTTCAATCCACCAGCACCCCTAGCTCCACCAGTACCCCCAGTCCCACCAGCTCCCAGTGCTGACCCTACACTCAGCCCACAGGCTCAGTCCCTTCCCCTGAAGCTCACCAGATGTGGGGGATTGAGAGCATTTTCCCCAGCTCATGCCACCTGGACATCCCACCTGGACCACATCCCACCCAAACCACATCCCACCTGGACCACCTCCTTCCCAGTCCACACCCCACACTCCCCCAACACCCCACACCTTGCCAGGGGTGACACCCACCCCTCTGTGCCCTCACCTTGAGCAGGTTGTTCTCGTTCTTGAGGTGTTTGAGGGAGAGCTGCAGTGCATCGATCTGCTGCAGCAGGAGGGGAGAGTCCTTCACTTGCACGGGGCCAGAGCCGCCCCCTGGCACCTGCCCAGCACCCACACCTGGGGACAGCGACCAGAGTCAGCACCTGGGACACACTTGGGGGCTACAAGGCTGTACCCTTAGCCTGAGCACCCCAAATCTGCCAGCCTCAGATCCCTCAGGCTGGATCGCACCCTGGAGCAAGCTCTGCTCCAGGTAGAAAGGAGCTCCCAGTCCCTCCATGGTCAGAGGGATGACACAGAGGTCACCCACAGTCCATGGCCAAGTTCTCTCTGGCACTGTGCTGGGCAAAGGGACATGTGTGTGGCACAGGGGGACGTGGTGGCTGCCAGGTATGCCCAGGTGTCACCAGAGCCACCTAGGGCACCACATGGCACCTCCCATGGGGGGCACAGCACCCACCAGCCAGGGCATCCCTCACCCACTGTGCCTCCCCAGCGCTTCCAGTTCTCCTTCCCAAGGGTGAGAAGCTGTGCCAGGTGTTGCAGGGACCCACAGTGCTCCATGGGGACACCCCACTCTGCATCTACCATTGCTCCATGCTCATCCCTCCCTTCTCAACCCCTGGAAGCACCAGCCAGGAGCTCCCAGGGTCAGCAGGACGTGGATGGTTCCCTGCTCCCAAAAAGAGCTGTGTTCAGGGGTCTGGGCGCCCAGGACACAGTGTCATCCCACCATGCATGCAGGGTGCACCCCTACCTCGCTGCTGGTCCTCTGCAGCACAGGGAGAGACAAGAAAAGCAGGATTAAAGCCCTGGATCAGGTGGGAGAGCAGCCCTGGCCGGAGCAGCTCCAGTCCCTCACCACTGTGTCTGGGGCTGTCTCTATTCCCGGCTCCAGGAGCAGTGTCTCAGCAGCTGGGAGTGACCCAAGGAGGACCCACATGTGGCTTTCCTGGAGCTGGGTGGCTCCACAGACACCCTGTTCATTCCCAGAGTACACCTGAGCTCCCAGTGGACACCAAACTCCTGCTCCTGTCCCTGCTCATTCTCCTGCCTCTGCTCCTACTACTGCTCCAGATGGGCTTTGTGGGATATTTGAAGCAGCAGAACCACAACACCTGTCTGCACAGGAGAGCTTCAGCAGGCACAGATCCCATGGGATCATCCCATGCAGGGACACCCGATGTGCAGGTGTGTGAACACCGTTCCCAAGCTCCTGGGCACAGTTCACCCCCAACTCCTGTGCCAGGAGGGCATCCTGGTCCCATTCCAGCTTGGCAAAACCAACACCACCACAGCCGTGCCCAGGTGCTGCCGGACATGGAGACAGACCTCCAGCAATGCCAGAGACGATGGAGGCCACCCCCGAGGCAGGAGCCCCTCGCAGCCCCTCAATCGTTCGCTTTGACTGGTTGTTCAGGCGCTGCTTCAGCTCCAACTTCTCTGACTCCAGCTGGTCAATGTCGGCCTGGAGGGCATCCATGGTCTCCTCAAACTCCCTGGGAAGAGCACACGGAGGAGGGGTGAGGCCAAGGATGCTGCTCTGAAGAAAAGAGGGAAGCAGCAGAGGACACTGGGTCTGCCACGCCATGCCTTGTCCCAAGTCCTTCTCCAGCTCTATTGGAGCACTTTAGGCACTGGAAGGGGCTCCAAGGTCTCCCTGGAGCTTCTCTTCTCCAGGCTAGACATCCCCAGCTCTCCCAGCCTGACTCCATGGCAGAGGGGCTCCAGAATCATGGAATGGTTTGGGTGAGAAGGGACCTTAAATCTACCCTGTGCCACCCCCTGACATGGGCAGGGACACCTTCCACCAGCCCAGCTGGCTCCAAGCTCCATCCAACCTGGCCTGGAACACTCCCAGGGATGGAGCAGTCACAGTTGCTCAGGGAAATCCGTGCCAGTGCCACACCACTCTCATAGCCAGGAATTCCTTCCCAAAATCCCACCCAAACCTCCCCTTTTCCAGTGGGAAGCCATTCCCCCTTCTCCTGTCACTCCATCCCTTGTCCCAAGTCCCTCTCCAGCTCTCTTGGAGCCCCTTTAGGCCCTAAAAGGTTCTCCAGAGTCTCCCTGGAGCCTTCTATTCTCCAGATTGGACATTCCCAGCTCTCCCAGCCTGGTTCCAGAGCAGAGGTTCTCCAGCCCTTGGAGCATCTCCATGGCCTCCTCTGGTCCTGCTCCCAGCAGTTCCATGTCTCCCAGCCCCATCCCACACTCACTTCTCCTTCTTTTTGAGCAGTGTCTGGGTCTCATCCAGCTTTGTCTGGATCTTTTCCACACGGTCATCTGCGTCCTTGGATGCACTATCCAACTTCTTCTCCAGGAGGCTGAGCCGCACATTGGCCTCACTGAGCTCCTCGCCCTGGAGCCACAGGGAGGGAATCAGGACCTCCAGGCAGCTGGGGGAGCCCGAAAATCACCTACACCCACAGTGGCACCCAGGAACAGCTCCCAGCAACGACCCTGTGCATCCCAGAACATGATGGGAAGGGGCCAAGGCAGGATCTGGCAGGCAGCACCTCCCTGGCCATGGGAAGAACATCCCCAGGAAATCTGGATGGGACTTGGGATGTTAGGTCCACAGGTAACAAGTCACTTGGAACATGGAGGTGACCCCCATAGCAGCCAGGAAGACAGGAATGAGTGGGGAAGGACCAGGAAGGTTGGGATCAGTGAGGAACAGGCAGGAAGGCAGAGATGGGTGAGGGACAGGGAGGGATCAGTGAGGAACAGGCAGGGATCACTGAGTAACACCCTACCTTGATCTTGAGGGACTTCTTCAGCTCCTTGATGACTGTCTCCCTGTCCTCCAGCTTCAGTCCCAGACCCTCGGCGTCTGTGATCTCTGCCCGAAGCGCGGCCGCGCGCAGCTCTGCTGGGGGTGTGGGCTGGGGACCCACACGGGCATATTAGGCAGAACCCCACACCCTGCAGCCCCACACCTCCTGCCCCACAGCCCCCAGAGCCCCTGGCAGGAGGTGACAGCCAACCCACCTTGTTCTGGGGCCGGTCAGCGTCGTATTCGCCCTCCTGCATGGCTGTGGCCATCTTGTTCATGGTGGCAATGAGGATGCTGCAGGACTGCCGCAGGCACTCGTAGGGGTTGATGGGGTTGATCCCTTGGGAGCCATAGATCTGGGAAGGATGGGAAGGAGGTGGCTGGTGGCCCTGGGACAGGCTCACAGTCCCTTCCCACATCCCACACCAGCCACATCCACACAGCACAGAGCACCACTTGGCCCTGTGTGCCCGTGTGTGTGGTATTCCATACTCCCAGTTTGTTCCCACTCCCACCTAGAGTTGCCCACAGGCTTCCCTGGGGCCGGGGGCAACGGGGATTCCATTGTGGAGGACTAGACATGAGCATATTCTGTCTCAGACATTCTGACTGTAATGACAGGTAAGATGTGATGGCAGCAGAGGGTCCTGCACAGGTGGGGCAGTGTGTGCTGAGCCAACATACTGCTTTACCTGGAGACTCTGCTCAGCTCCCCCGACTCACTCCCTGGAGAATGCTCGAAGGTATTCCATACTCCCAGTTTGTTCCCACTCCCACCTAGAGTTGCCCACAGGCTTCCCTGGGGCCGGGGGCAACGGGGATTCCATTGTGGAGGACTAGACATGAGCATATTCTGTCTCAGACATTCTGACTGTAATGACAGGTAAGATGTGATGGCAGCAGAGGGTCCTGCACAGGTGGGGCAGTGTGGGCTGAGCCAAATCCTGCTTCACCTGGAGACCTTTCACTGTGTGTTGTGTGAGCAGCACCTTTGGCTGCGTGTTGTGTTGTGCTGTGTGAGCTGCATCTTTGGCTGTGTGGTGTGTGAGCAGCACCTTTGGCTGTGCAGTGTGGTGTGTGAGCAGCACCTTTGGCTGCGTGTTGTGCTGTGTGACACCCACCTGCTCGCTGACTTTGAAGGCCAAGTCCTCCAGCCTGGTGGCCTGCAGCCCCTCGTTCTCAGCCAAGGGTGCGATGAGCTGTGCCCCGGCCGCGGCCACCTCCTGCAGCACAGCCACCACCCACGTCAGGTGCTTGCGGCACTCCAGCAGCGTCTCCGACACCTGGGGGCACAAATGGGATGGTTGGGGATGGCAGGGATGCATGGGAGGGGCTCCTGTAATCCATAGATCCCAGTCTGACAGAGACTGGAGAGGCACTGGGAGGTGGGAAACAGTGGGAGAGGGAAACTGAAGGCTGGAGAGAAGCAGATGTCAAGCAAAGTCTCCATCCCACCTGGGAACATGAAGCCCAAAGACAGTGCATCCAGCCTGCCCAGGAAAGGAGTTAGGAAGGGTGTGCAGCAGCAGGAGCAGCTGAAGGAGCTATGGGGGCTGAGCCTGGAGAAAAGGGGCTCAGGGAGAACCTTCTGCTCTCCACAACTCCCTGACAGGAGGTGCAGACAGGGTGAGTTGGGCTCTGCTCCCAGGGAACAAGGGACAGGAGGGAACAGCCTCAGGGTGCTCCAGGGGAGGGTCAGGTTGGATATTGGGACAATCTCTCCTGGAAAGGGCTGTGCAGCCCTGGCACAGCTGCCCAGGGCAGGGAGAGTCACATCTCTGGGGATATTGAATAGCTGTGTGGATGCAGCACATGGGGACCTGTAAGTGGTGGCCTTGGCAGTTCTGGGGGAGCAGCTGGACTTGGTGGTCTCAGAGGGATTTTCCAGCCTCAGTGATTCCATGATTCCAGCTTGGCTCACCCCAGTTCCCTGAGCTTACCCAGGGAGGTTGGATATTGGGACAATCTCTCCTGGAAAGGGCTGTGCAGTGCAGCCCTGGCTGCCCAGGGCAGGGAGAGTCACATCTCTGGGGATATTGAATAGCTGTGTGGATGCAGCACATGGGGACCTGTAAGTGGTGGCCTTGGCAGTTCTGGGGGAGCAGCTGGACTTGGTGGTCTCAGAGGGATTTTCCAGCCTCAGTGATTCCATGATTCCAGCTTGGCTCACCCCAGTTCCCTGAGCTTACACAGGGCACTGGAGTGATCCATGAGCCGAGTCACATCTCTGGGGATATTGAATAGCTGTGTGGATGCAGCACATGGGGACCTGTAAGTGGTGGCCTTGGCAGTTCTGGGGGAGCAGCTGGACTTGGTGGTCTCAGAGGGATTTTCCAGCCTCAGTGATTCCATGATTCCAGCTTGGCTCACCCCAGTTCCCTGAGCTTACACAGGGCACTGGAGTGATCCATGAGCCTCTGGTACTGTCCCAGTCTGTGCCAGAGCTCCCAGTGCGTGTTGCCCTGTCCCTCTCACCTGCTGGCCGAAGCCAAGCGCCGCGGGAATCCCGGGTGCATCTGTACCCGGCATGCGCCGACGGATCTTCTTGCAGAACTGGCGGATGTCACTGCAGGATGTCTCCAGGGGGATGGCCCGGTCGGCTGCCTCCTGCCCAGCCTGGGGACACAGCAGCACATCAGAGTGGCACGGGGACACACAGGGACCTCAGGCACAGCGACACAGAGAGGGACCTCGAGACGGACAGACATGGGTACACAGAGGTGACCTTAGACAGAGGGACAGACAGGGACCTCAGACAGAGGGACATGGGGGGAGAGAGGGATCAGAGAGGGACCTCAGAGGAACACAGGGACACAGAGGGACCTCAGAGGGGCACAGGGACAGAGAGGGATCTCAGACAGATGGTCACGGGAACTGAAAGGGACATAGAAAGAGGGATCTCAAGAGGGACACAGAGACACAGAGGGACCTCCGACAGAAGGACAAGGGGACAGTGGGGAGCCAGCACACACCCATCCAGCCCAGCCAGTCTTACCTGGAGGAAGGCTCGGAGCCGGCACACCTCCACCCCCATGCAGTCCAAGGCACTCTGGGTGAACTGTGGGCACCAGCACAGGGAACGTCAAGACAGGGACAGGGCAGGGAGGTGATCTGGGGCACTCTGGGGCTGCTCTGAAGCTGCTCTGGGGCAAACAGGGGCTGCTCCAGGGTATACTGAGGTAAACTGGGGCTACTCTGGGGCACACTGGGGCTTTGGTCCTGTGAATTCCAGGATGGACCATGCCACCACTGAATTTTCAGGAGCAGGGAAACTGTTGAGTCAGTTGGGCTATTCTGGCCTATTTTGGGTTCACTCCATGGGGCAGAGGACACTGATCCTTCCCTTGGAAGCTCAAGGATATAACAGTCCCTTCAGACTTGGGCTCCACACTGCTCTCCCTGCTCCTCTCTTCTTCCCAGAGCAAATGTTCCCTGACCCCATAGCTCCCATCCCCTCGTGTCACCACTGGGGAGGAGTGACAGCCCTGGGCAGGGGGCAGCAGGGGCACCTCAGCTCCCAGAATGATCCTGGAGTGCTCAAGGGTGGAAAACCGGGAGCAGGAAAGGGTGGGGGGTCCCTACTCACCTTGATGTGGTCAGCCAGCTGCAAGGTGCAGTCCTCAGCCTGGTCAGCCAGGTGGATGCTGTACAGGTGCTGTGGGAAGGGACAGGGATCAGCACCCACAGGGAGGTGAACAACCCAAGGGAACACTCCATGAATCCCAGACTTTGAGTTTGGCCTCATTTTTAACTGGAAGTGATAACTCAGTGACTTCCCAGGGCCTCCTGAAAGAGCTGGTGGTCCTTAATTCCACAGGTCAGTCAACCTGATCTGCAGGCGGGATACAGGAGCATAGGATAGGAAAGACACATCCCCCAGGGACAGCCCCAGGGGACACAGCGACAGTCACCTGTGTGAGAACCCTCACAGGGAAGTGCTCCCAAGGAGTGATATCCCAGCAGATCCATGTGAGCAACGGATCCAAGGGCAGGATATCTAACAGGAGAGGTAGCACCTGTCCCCTGTGTCACCCACCTGGTAGTACTTGATGGCTTTGGTGAGTGGCTCCACGTTGACAGTCTCATCCAGCTGGTCCTTGTGCAGCAGCTCGATGAGGAAGTCCAGCGAGCGCTCGTGGACACTCATCTCGGGGTACAGCGTCCCCACCTTCTTGTACACCTCCACACTGCACTTGTTCAGGGCCCTGAGGGGCACGGAGAAGGAGAGCCCTCAGCTTGTTTCTGTCCTGGCTCACAATATCTCTTCCTGTGTCACCTCTGGGAGGGGACACAAGGAGAGTCATGGAGAAGTGACTCCATAGCAAGGCAATAAGGGGATCCTGCAGCTCTTTGTTCTCCTGGCTCTCAGAATCCCTTCCCCTGTCACCTCTTGGGGAAGACACACAGAAGCCACAGACAAGGGGATCCCTTGGCTTACTTCTGTCCTGGCTCCCAAAATCTCTTCTTGTATTACCTCTTGGGAGGGACACAAGGGGGTCATGGAGCAGTGACCTCATTGCAAGGCAATAAAGGGGATCCCTCTGCTTTTTTCTACCTGGCTCCCAAAGTCCCTTCCCATGTCACATCTTGGGAAGGACACAAAGAAAGGTCATAGAGAAATGACCCCATGGCAAGACAATTAGGGAATCCTGCAGGTCTCTTCTATCCTGGCTCCCAAATCCCCTCCCACGTCACCTCTTGAGGGACACACAAAGGGAGTCACAAAGAAGTGACCCCTCACAGGGCAGTAAAGGGGATCCTGCTGCTTTTTTCTAGCCCAGCTCCCCAAATCACTTCCCATGTAACCTCTTGTGGGAGACACAAGGAGGGTGACAGAGAAGTGACCCCTCCCAAGGTGACAAGGGTCTCCCAGCCCCCAGGACCCTCCAGGCTGTACTCACTGCTCGTATTTGTGCAGGGTGGCCTGCAGCAGGCTGAGGGAGTAGACAAGCCCCGCGGCAAAGCTGAGCTGCTCCCCCGCGGCCCCCCGCAGCCCCGCACGCTCCGCACAGCTCTCGCTCAGCTCAAAGCGCTCCTGGGCCTGTTTGCTGATCAGCTCGGCCTGGTGGGACAGGGAGGGCTGTCAGGGCATCCCTCGGGGACACTTGGCCACAGCCAAGCCCCACACATGCACCCTGAAGTGACTTGGTCTGGGAAGGAGTGACCCAGTGGCATCACAGCCAAGTGCTGCACCCACTGAGCCACAGCCCTGCGGGCAAAGCCTGTTTCCTGCCCTCCCTGCTCCCAGAACTTTTAGAATCATGGAATTATTTGGGTTGGAAAAAGAACCCTGAGTCCAAGTGTCCCCCAGCATTGCCAAGGCCACCACTGACATGTCCCCAAGCACCACATCCACACAGCTGTTCAATCCCCCCAGGCAGCTGTGCCAGGGCTGGACAGCCCTTTCCAGGAGGGACTGTCCCAATAGCCAACCTAAATTCCTTCAGAGATGGTGACTCCAAATTCCCATGAACTCTTCACAGCTCTCCAACAAGTGAACCCTGAAAACCCCCAACTCCCCCAAGACACAGAGCAGAGGTGCTGTCTCCCAGTCTATGCTCTCCAGGCCCGTCCTACCTTGCAGATGAGGCGTGGGATGAGGAGCAGCACCAGGACGCAGTCGTGGTCGCCGCCATGGCGCAGGAAGCTGTCAGGCATGAAGGAAGTGAGGAGGGACACGTGGCGGTTGGCCTGCTGCACCTCCATCTGCCGCAGCTCCATCTCGATGGCCTGTGGGGACAGGGGCACACAGCTGCTCCAGGTCCTGCTCAGCACACACCAGCTCAGGGGCCTGAACAGTGGGAATGCTGGTCCATCTGGGATATGGATAAGCCCCACTGCCTGGTTGCAACTTCACAGCGCACCCAGGGATGCCCAGGGACACATCCCACCAACCCAAGTGACTCCAAGCCACATCCAACCTGGTCTGGAACACTTCCAGGGATGGAGCAGCCACAGCTCCTCTGGACAACCTGTGCCAGTGCCTCAACACCCTCACAGCCAGGAATTTCTTCCCAATATCCCACCCAAATCTCCACTTTTCCAGGGTGAAGCCAGTCCTTGCATCCTGTCCCTCCATGCCTTGCCCCAAGTCCCTCTCCAGCTCTACTTGAGCCTCTTTAGGCACTGGAAGGGACTCTAAGGTCTCTCCAGAGCCTTCCCTTCCCTTAGGTTTAGGTTAGAAGGGAACTTAGCAATCATCCAGTCCCACACCCTGTCATGGGCAGGGACACCTTCCACCAGCCCAGGTAGCTCCAAGCCCCATCCAACCTGGCCTGGAACACTTCCAGGGATGGGGTGGCCACAGATTCTCTGGGAATACCCACCCCCAGCCTGGGGATGGATAAGCCTTTCCCAGGGAAGGATAAGCCCACCCGGGGCATGGACAAGCCTGTCCAAGGGATGGATAAGCCCACACAGGGCACAGATAAACCCACCCAGGGGAGGCATAAGCCCACCCAGATCTCTCCCTGCCCCTACCTTGGCATGTGCTTTTGTCTCAGCAAACTTGATCTTGAAGTCGAACATCTCCGGCGGTGGCTGCTGCTGCCTCTCAGCAGACGCTTCCTGCTGGCTCATCAGCTCCCTGTTCACGTCCTGGGCACAGGGAGGGGCAGTCGTGGGACACATGGACACCAGCATGGAGATCAAGGACCCCCAGCAACCCCCGCAACCTCCCAGAGCCCCTTCTTGGGGGTCTCAGCTTATGGCCATTCCCTCTAGTCTTAGAACCACAGAATCATCAAGGTTGAAAGAGACCTCTGAGATCACTGAGTCCAGCCTCTAATGTGTCACTACTATAACCCCTAAACCATATCTTACAGCACAACATCCAGTCACTTCCAGGGATGGTGACTCCACCACCTCCCGGGACAATATTCCAGTGCCAAAGGAGGACCAGGAGGAGCCTCACCTGCAGGTGAGCTGTGAGCTCCCTGTACTTTTTGATGGTCTGTTGGTAGTCAGCCACAGTCTCCTGCGCAGCCTCCACACGCGTCTCAGCCTGGCGCACGCGCGCCGTGGCCATGTCCAGCTGCTCCCGCAGCTCCAGCTCCGTCTCCCGCGCGTTCTCCTGCAGCTCATCGTTCATCTCGTTCATGGCCTCCTGCAGGGAGGTGGCACCAGGGGACATGAGGTCACACTATGCGTGTGAGGAGCAGGGAAGGGGAGCACCACAGGGTGTACAGCTTGGATGTGGTCCTGAGCCTGTGGGGAGCTTCACGGCTCCGTGTGGCTCCGCAGCTCTGCTGGGGCAGCTCCCAGCCCCCGAGCTGACTCCCTGGAGCAACCCTTATCCCAAGGGAATTGGCCTCACCAGATCTCCGACGGTCTCACGCAGCTCCCGGACCTTCTCCTCCAGGTCTAAATTTCTCTCCGTGAGAGTCTCCACCATCTCCTCAGCACCTAAAGCTGCATCCACCTGCCAGGATAAACACCTCAATCCATCTAACTGTCAGGACACATATCCCAATCCATCCCCCTGCCAGGACACACAGCCCAATCCTGCCAAAGCGGCATTCAAAATGGTCCCAAACAGCTGCCAAACATCCCCCAAACCACCTTTCCCCTCTTCCCCAGGGACTCACTTGTTCCTTCAGCTCATCCACTGTCTTCTCTGCCTGCTTCACCTCCTCCTGCAGCTTCTCCCTCTGCTGCCTCAGTGCCTCCAGTTCCGTGTTCTTCTTCTCCATCTGCTTCTGGAGCTTCACATGTTCCTGCTTCTCCGAGGCTGACAGGTCCCTCATCCTGGGGCAGCCACAGGGACCACAGTGAGGAATCTGTGCCCTCCCCACATGCTGCTCCTGGGGGCACCAGTAGGGCCAAGAGCCCCTGCCCACTCCAGCAGGGGTGGTGGAGCTCCTCCAGAGCCTCTGGAGCCTCCAACAACTCTTCCTATAAGCTGTGTCCCCCCAAATTCAGCTCCTGACACCAAGGATGGGGTGAGACAGTGCCTGAGGCAGTACCTGGTGTATCCCATCAGGATGGGATGATTCCACCTCCTCTACCTGTTCCTGGACATGGGAATAACCATCCTTGAGCTGCAGTGGGGGCAGAGTACAGTGCTGGGATCCACCTGAACCTCTTGGCTGTGGATTCCCAAAGGGAAAGCCCCTGACCCCCAAGGCCTGCAGGTGGGATTGCCCAGGAAAGGGCCACAGCCAGATCCCAGGGCTGGGAAGGGTCTGGAGAGCAGCCCTGCCATGGTGCTGGGATGCAGAGCACCACATCCATAGGAAAGTGGGCACAGGAAAGGTCTGAAGTGGCTCCTTTTGTCCCAGTCCGCACTGATTCCCAGTGACAAGGGACTCTCTTACCCCTTGGATGCTTAAAGGGTCACCCAAGCTCAGCATGGACCCAAGGCCCATCAGCATGAATTACATGGAATGCTGCAGACAAGGACCGGAATTGGTGCTGTCAGGGAGCAGGAGAGGATTTGGAAGCAACTTTCCTGGCAGCATCCACCTTTGGGGAGCACCTACCTGACCAGAGCCTCCCTGAGCCTGGCATTCTGCTCTTCCAGATGTTTGACCTGGTAGCTGGACGCTGCTCCATCAGAGCCTGCAGAGGAAGGGAAGAATCACGGAATTATGGAATAGTTTGGGTTAGAGACAGATTAGAGCTCATCCAGTTCTACCCAGGGACACCTCTCACCAGGCCAGCTGGCTCCAAGCCCCATTCAACCTGGCCTGGAACACTCCCAGAGATGGAGCAGCCATAGCTGCTCTGGGAACTCCATCCCAGCCCCTCACCACCCTCACAGCCAAGAATTCCTTCCCAATATCCACCTATCCCTGCCCTCTGGCAGTGGGAAGCCATTCCCCACCTTGTCCTGCCCCTTCAGGCCTTTGTCCAAAGCCTCTCTCCCTTCCCACCTTTCTCCTCAATCTCGTGCTTCAGGATCTCCAGGTCCATGGTTAGATATTCCACCTTCTCCTTGAGGGAGTCCACCTCTTGCTGCAGGGACTCTGCCCTCTCCTCGGCCATCTCCTTGTCCAGGGTGGCCATCTCGATGGCATCAGCTGTGTCTGCCATCTCTTCCATGTACCTCTCCTTGGCCTCCAGGGCATCCTTGGCCTCCTGCAGGGGAGCACAGGGATGAGGAGACCCTGGAAACCCCAGGCCAACCTGGAGACACCCCACAATGGGCCTTGGGCAAGTATTGCCCCTCATGGCTCTCCCAAAGGAGATCAAATCCAACACCAGTTTATCTGGGATGAGAGGCAACAGCCCATGGATATCACTCCCCTCTTCCTTGCTCTACACCTCCAGCCACAGAGAGCCCAGAAGGAAAATATCTGCAGGTAGAGAGGTATGGAGACAGGGAATACATAAGCTGGTGCTGGAGCAAATCAATCCCTGGGAAAACAAACCAGGAATCCACCCTGGAAAAGCAGGGCAGGGAGAAGGAAACACTCCTTGGCTGCTTGGATGGAGCTCTGGGAGCACAGGTAGAGGTGCCAGGAGGAGGACACCTACCATAGGCAGGGAGGGGAGAGTGAAGCACCTGGGCAGACAGAGAAGAGGGAAAGCACCTGGGGAGAGAGGGGAGAGGGAAAGCAACATGCCACCTTGCCTCAGCCCAATTCCCAAACATACCGGACACTAATTAGGAGCAGATGGAAGAGCCTCAAGTTGTTCCAGGGGAGGTTTAGTTGGAATTAGGGAATATTTCTTTCCAGAAAATATTGCCCAGCTCCCTCACCTTCTTGGCCTCTTTCAGGCGCTTCTGGAGGTCAGCCTGCTGCTCCTGCATTTTGCTCTTCCATTCCTGCACCTGCTCCAGTTGGATCTTGTACTTCTCCAGCTCCTTGAGCTTCGCTTTGTCCTCATTCCTCTTGATCTTCAGTGTCTCCAGCTTCTCCTCCAGGTCCCTGACCTGGGCACGGAGATTCTCCTCCTCCTGCAACACCAAGCTAAGAGTTAGGAAAGCAGCAGTCAGCCCTTAGAGAGCTACAGGGATGTTACTGGAACCTCATGGAACCTGGTCTGACCTTCGGCATTGACACTGGGGCAGTGTGAGAGGAGAATGACTTGGAAAAAGGTCTGCAGGGACAGGACACAGGGAATGGCTTCACACTGCCAGAGGGCAGGGACAGATGGGATATTGAGAAAATGTCTCCCAATCCAAAACATACCATGATCCCTTGCTTCTGGAGCCCCTCTGCCATGGAGCCAGGCTGGGAAAGTTCGGAATGTCCAGCCTGGAGAAGGGAAGGCTATAGAGAGACCTTAGAACTCCTTCCAGGGCCTAAAGGGGCTCCAAGAGAGCTGGAGAGGGACTTGGGACAAGGGATGGCGGGACAGCTCACAGGGAATGGCTTCACACTGCCAGAGGGCAGGGATAAATGGGATATTGGGAAGGAGTTCCTCCCTGTAAGGGTGGTGAGGTACTGGCACAGGTTGTCCAGAGCAGCTGAGGCTGCTTCATCCCTGGCAATGATGCCTCAGGAGATGACCCTGTGCTCTTCACCAGCCCCTGCTCCATCCCATTGCAGCACTCACGTCATCCCAGTTGATCTTTCCCCAGGGAGAACTGATCCAGGTCCTATTCCAGCAGCTCAGCTCCCAGGGCACGGAAGGCTGACACTGGCACAGCAGTACCAAAGGCTGTGAGGGCGATGGGGTGTGACCTCCTACCTAGCAGCAGCTTCATGGCCAAAGCCTCAAATCCCAGAGCTGAGTGACAGCAAGGAGCAGCTCTTGGAAAAATCCTACACAGTGAGGGAAAGCCCCATGGGTTCCTCCTCTGCTGTGTTCCCAGCCCTGGGCACTCCCATGCCAACAGCACCACCAGTTCTGCACTCACTTACAGAAACCAGTTACCAGAGAACTCAGAGCAGTGGGGACATGGGTGGGGATAGGAGTGGGGACATTCCTTCTTCCCATCCCCTTGTGCCTTCTCCAGCCCTCCCTCTCTACCCAACCCCAGAACCAGCTCCTTGTCCTCTCCCACCTGGCACAGTTGAGGGCTGAGCACACAGCCCACCTGGGCACAGCTTAGGGCAGAGATTACAGCCCACCTGGGCACAGCTCAGGACAGAGCCCAGAGCCCACCTGGGCACAGCTTAGGGCAGAGCTCACAGCCACAGCTCACCTGTGCAGAGCTCAGGACAGAGAGCAGAGCCCATCTGGGCACAGCTTAGGGCAGAGATTACAGCCCACCTGGGCACAGCTCAGGACAGAGCCCAGAGCCCACCTGGGCACAGCTTAGGGCAGAGATTACAGCCCACCTGGGCACAGCTCAGGACAGAGCGCAGAGTCCACCTGGGCTCATCTCAGAGCTGAGCCCACACAGCTTAGTGCAGATCCCAGAGTCCAGCTGGCACAGCTTACCTGGTACGGTTTAGGGTAGAGCTCACACAGCTCTGGGCAGTGCCCACAGCTGACATGGACACAGCTGACCTGGGCACAGCTTAAGCCACTGCCCATACAGCTCACCTGGTAGAGCTCACTGGCACAGCTCAGGGCAGAGCCCACAGTCCCCGTGGGCACAGCTTACCTGTCAGAGCCGGGGGCAGACGCCCCCGAACCTTACCTTGGTGGGTGAGGGCACCGGGGGTGCCATGGGGGAGCTGAGCACGGGCGTGGGGATGACAGGGGCCACGAGGGGTGTCTGCGCGGGGGTGCTGGGCTCGCTGCTGCTC